AGAAGCTGGTATGTTCAGATATCAAAAAGTACACACTAAGCACTTAACTTTAAAAAAATTAAATTTAAATTTAAAAACTGGGGAGATGAGGGAGAAAAAAAGGAACAGAAGCCTCCAAATAATTATAAAAGGTTTTCCCCTAACAGAAACTTTGGGCTTAATTTCAAGATGCTACTTTTGGTTCCACTGTGCTTCTGGTGCACCTTTTCTTCATTATGTCTTTCTATACAGAAATAACAGGCACATACCAAGGCAAAGGAGGATCAGAGGACCTAGCTCCCTGAACTCTGGTTTCCTAATCACACGCAGAAGTATAGAGATGCATTTCTGTGGGAACTGAACACACACAGCCTTGGCTCAAACCCCCCTTTCACCAAAATCGCTCCATTTAGGATTCAATGCAAAATTACCTTTGGTAAATAAAATGTTTATTAAGAAATAAAAAAACAAACTTACAAATCTGCGAACTAAAGAGAACACTGTTCAAATCATTTCTGGTTGAGCATACTTTTAAAAGATAATTATATGCCCCTTTGAGTAACTTTTTCACTTAGCACATATCAAAGCATAGACCAATTTCTTCATAAATGTGCAGAAAACAAAGGAAATGAATGGCAGAGAAAGTTAAGAATGAAAGATAAATGCCATTCAAAGTCTTCATCATCTAAGCCAAGCATGGTAGTGAACTACATGGGCTACTGAATGAGATCCTGTACCTGAGTCCTCACCAACTACAACAACACCTAAAAAAAGCAACCCAACACAGAGCCTGCCATGCTCACAGGTACTGCCTGTCCTTCAGCAAGGCACCACTGATGTCAACCTCCATCTCCCACATGAATGTGCATGTATCCCTGTACATACACACACGTACCATCATCCCAGCTCCACCTCAACCACTCCTAAACTAAACAAACGAAAGAAACCTTGTAATGTGCCGTGTTCATACTGCATGAGTAAAATGTATACCAAGTTTACATTTTGCTTACATAAGAAGGAAAAGAACTGATGTGACAGTGTGCATTTATAATCCTACTTGGGAGGTGGAAGCAGGAGAAGTTGAAGGTCATCCTCAGCTACATATCTAATAAAAGGTCAGCCTCTGCTACACAAGACCCCCATCTCAATCATCCTTCCCCAACTCCAAAAAGGAAGACAGGAATATATCCCAAAATTCAACAAAGTAAGGTTTTATTTTCTTCAAGGGTCTTAAGCCAAAAAAAAAAAAAAAAAAAATCTTACTTCAAACAAAAGTAGGGAATATCTCCTCAATGGAAGAACAATTTTAAAAACCTTACTAGGCAAGGCAGTGTTACCAATACTATAGTATATTTCCTCTTCAGTGTTAATTCAGTGTTAACCTAATGCTAAATTATCAAAGCATTCTTCAGAATCTATTATGCACTTATCTATGTCAAGTTCAGAGATGTTAATGACAACCAATTCATTATTTTTTAAATAGATTTTCTTATTGACCTGGAGTTGTGAATGGTTGTGAGCCACCATGTGGGTGCTAGGGACTGAACAGGTCCTCTGCAAGAGCAACAAGTGCTCTTAACTGATGAGCCATTCCTCCAGCACCAACTTATCATTATTTACGGTGTAAGGTTCAAAGCAAGATTTCCTACCACTAAGGAAAATCAAAGGTGGAGTTGTTGAAGGAAGGAGGAGTCTCTCCCAAGCAACTGGAGGTCATAAGAACACCCCTTCCTCAGTATGTCACCTGAGAATGACCCCTGACAGAGGGCTTCACAGGCATTCTCAGATGCCATTATTTCCCCTGAGGGGGAAACAGTGAGAAGGGACCACACACAGTCCTAGTTAGGAGAGCAAAGTTTAGACAAAGAAGACAGTGTCTGTCGGTCCATCTCGTTCTCCCTGGTTCATATTTATTTATATGTATGAATGAAAGTCTGTGCACTGGGGGTGGGGTGATGCCATGTGTGTGCATCTGTAAAGGTCAGAAGAAAGCATCAGATGCCCTGGAACTGCAGTTACAGTTCGTTGTGAGTCACCTAATGTGGTGCTGGGAATTGAAGTTAGGAGCTCTGGAAGAGCAAGCACTCTTAACCAGAGCCATCTCTCTAGTCCCTCACTCGGTCTAATTTCAGTAGAGTGATGAAAGACAATTAATTGTCTGGGCATGGTAGCACATATCTGTAATCCTACCACTTAGAGGAGACAGAGGCAGGAAAACTGCTTTGAGGCCTCCTTAGTCTATATCATGAGACCTTGTCTCAAAGAAGTAAAACTAATAACCCCCAGGACTCAAACTGCTTGCCAAGGAGGAACTAGGACCTAACTTTAACACACCTCAAAAGGCCAAATGACCTTCTAAAGTCACTCTGGTATCCAATATCACAGTTCTAAAACCTATTATCTGAATTCTATGACTTGCAAAATATGTACAAGTCCCAGAAGAGAAATTATGTTCTTAAGGTTGACGATCATTGGTCCCTAGATCCAACTATTTTACAGTGGCCAATGTACAGGTAAGCTGCACAACAGCCCCCAACGATATCTATAGGGCACCTGTAGAGGTTCATGTCCTGATTCAACACCCTTAACCATTCCCATAAGTCTCAATACAAGGATAATTTTCATTAATAACCAGTCAGAACATGTGGTTTCCTTCTCCGAAGTGTTTCTGGCAGTCACTACTGCATGCCATTCATCCCCGATGTCAAGGGACTGGAATGTACTTTTAATAATGTATCTGGCTCCTCAGGAACATCTGGACTGCAGCTGCTTGTCAAGTGAGCTTGTGCACATAGGGAGTTGTGCACAAGGCCTATATCATCCCTTGTCCTATCTCTGCTTAAAGCATGCTTCACTGATGCAGTGCTCAGTTCTGCTACCAATCAATGTGGAACAGAAAGACTTAGCAGGTTCCTGGTGTACAACAGGTCTAAAGCCAGAGTTACCCCAGTCCAGGCATGAAGAACTGTTTGTTGAGGAAATACTTGATTTTCCTTTTAAGACTTAGAAGTTAACTGAATTTTTTCTTCTCCAAAGTCTTATAACGAAAAACAAAAACAAAACAACACAACAACAAAAAACAAAACAAAAAAAAACAAAAAAAAAAACAAGGCTGTCTCCATAACAGGAAGCATTTGTTACTGTCAAAGGGGCTTGATGTCTCCTTTCAGGGACAGAATCTGTCTCATTCAATACTTGTATCTACCACAAGGAGACAAAACTGCACAGCAGGGAACCTAATAGCAAATTAAGTCTGGAGCTTCCAAAGCAAATGAGCCATGAACTCCAGTGTTTGGAAGCTCAGAAGGGAATATGGCAAAGCTGACATTAGTGGAACAAAGAAATCTGCAGCTACATATGCAGTAACTATTTAATCTAAGGAAACTACCCTTTTAACCCCTCAATCCTAAGAATAGATGAGGACTACCACTTTACTGGCATTCTCAATGAAGGCAACCATAGGAAGAAGCACTAAAATCACAGAATTTTGAGATGAGCAAACAGAGAGGTCAAGGAAAAGAAATAACAGTACGGACAGGCTCAAGTCAAGCATGAGCAACTGAGACTCACCAGGACTCTATCCTTTTAGCCCCACTGTCTCCTCCCAGACCACTGGGCATTCTCACTGAGTTTCTACAGACAAACAATGGTTTCTGGTGCCCTCCTTGTTTATTGAAGTTTTCTTTAGAGACAATAGATGGGGAGTTTAAAGCATAGGCTTCAGATTGAAGGATGGCTGCATTTAAATTTAGTTTCTAATGGTCTCCATTTTCTAACAGTTTTCTCATTGGTAAGATGTGGAGTATATTTCTTTTGCTAGGACAGTTAGGGAGATGAAAGAAAACCAACAACAGTTCATCCAAAGCTTTCACAATGCATGAACCATAGCTATCATCAATGTGTGTGGGGGAAAAAAAACATTTCAGCATCACTTACTTGTGGTAATTCTCCTTTTTCTCATCTCTCCAGTTTTTATTTAACTGGTGAATTTTCACAGCTACATATCTTTGCTCTGTTAGATCAAATGCCTATTAAAAAAAGGAAGAAATTATATTTACATAAATACTAACAAGAATTCACAGGGAATTCACTTGAAGCTTCTATTTAACAAATCAACACACAAAGTCCAAACTACATTATTAAATGAAAGCTGCAGCAAATGACATAGCATGTTTGCTCCAGTGTTGCAACCATCTTCTTGAAACTTGTGATTAGATAATTCAGAAGTCTCCAGACACACTGGCACCGTGGGATTTAGAAGACAAATTCAAGCAAACACCACAAGCAGAAAGCCAAGCCATGCCCTTACACTTCCTCCCAACAATGCTCACTCTGGACATCATCCCTTCTCATCTATGACTTTTCTCACCAAGTGTCTCTCACCCTCCACCAGCCTGGGGAGCTCACATGTGTCAACATTGTCTCCCTACTTTTGAGATCCTGGAACACACACTGATTGCTTCCTATAGAAAACAACCCAGCTGGATATGATCATTGGTATGACCATTTACAAAGTAGCCAACAACGCAGTATGTTGTGTTTACTAAAATAGAAACCGAAACTAAACAAAACCAAAAATTCCAACCTTAAATTTGGTGCCACAGCTATGTACCAAGTAAAAACAAAGTAGCATACAGGCCTAGCATTGGGCAAGCAACGCTTTCTATAAGTTCCCACAAATGCACACACAGACACAGGCAAACAGAGGCGATCACTGTTCTACAGGTTTCCCAATGCTTCTCTAGGAAAGCAATATCCCAACCAGGGTGCTGTTTATCAAACAAGGGACTTGTCATTCAGGCTATATCGAAATCAAGTATATAGTATTAAAAAAAACGAAACATAACAAAAACTGTTTCACAGCAATGAAACAAATGTACTTTTCTCACACTCTAAGGAATATATCATCAAGGCTTTCCTCTAAAAACCACTTCGAGATATTAAAAACTTAGTATGTGAGAGTATTATACTTAACAAAAAGGGTAGAAAAATCTGAACAGAACTCATCTATAAGAGGAATAGTGTTTATGAAAGGAGAGGTTAGCACGGCCCCTTGACAAGGATGGAAAAGCTTCAGGTCTAGTAACAGGCACTGGTCAAGGCACTGCAGTCTATTTTATAGTGGTTAACTACTGTTTTTAAATGTTTGATTTCAAAAGAAAAAAAGACAAATGTTTTCTTGCAAAATGTTACCACACGGGTGATTTGCCTAAGTTGGGTATATAAAATCTTCAACAAGCTAACTATGCCCTCCCTGCTCACAACCCTTTCTAAGAAGCTACGACAACTATATCATCAAAGCTCAACTATGTTACAAGCAAACAAAAGGTGGTCACAAGTCTATCAGTCAGATTTACCAGCACAGACTTTAAAAGTATGACTAACGGACTGAAAAATCAAACCAGCACTGGTCCAAAGGTATAGCCATGGTACCCAGTGGTAACAGGTACACACTATTTGTGAACGTACTTAATGCCACTGATGTATATACTTACAAATGATTAAAGCAGTACTTGGAAGTTGGGGCCACCCTGAATTACACTGTGAGTTTAGAGCCAGCCTGGGCTAAAGTGTGAAAATGTCTTAAAAACAAGATTTTAAAAAAATGCTAAAAAGGGGGGTGGGCTGTGGTAAACCATGCCTTTAATCGCAGCACTTGGGAGGCAGAAGTAGGCAATCTCTGTGAGTTTGAGGCCAGCCTGGTCTACAAAGTGAGTTCCAGGACAGCCAGGACTGTTACACAGAGTTTTCTTAAAAAAACAAAGTTAAAAATGTAAATTTTATACATATATCATCACAATAAAAACCTAACATTTAGGCTGGTCCCAGCATACACACCTGTAATCTCAACACCCAGGAGGCCAATGTAGGAAAACTACAATTTCTAGGCTAATCTTGGCTCTAAAAACTAATAAAAATTAATATCTAAGATGCTGGAGTGGTGGCTCATTGGCTAGGACTGCTGACTTCTCTTACAAAGGACCCACGTTTGATTTCCACACCCATATGGTAGCTCATAACCATCTATAACTTCAGTCCCAGGGATCTGACACCTTCTTCTGACCTCCACTGGTATTGCACACATTATGTACAAACTTATAGGCAAAGTGCTCATACACATAAAATAAAAATAAATATATTTTTAAATAAAGGAAAAAAATTTAAACAAAAAGTTAACGTTTTGAAAAAGGGAAAACCGTCTGGAATATAACCCAGTAACAGAATGCTTGCCAAACACATCTGAGGCCCTAGGCTGAAGACCCAGGACTGTACAAAGAGGAGAAAACACAAGTGCTAGGTTTTATTGCTCCTACTTGAAACAAAGGCATTTGTTTTACTCAGAAGACTTCTTACATATAAATTTATGAATAAATAAACAGAAATCACAACAGCAGAGGCCACATCTCTGTACCTTAGAAAACAGATTTCACAGCTAGACATTGGAAGATCACATAACAAATCAATTTTACATTTATAATCAGATGCAAAAAGTATGTAGAAAATTGTTGGTGAACATGATATGAAGCTGTAGAGTACTGAAAACTGGCTGCCTTCCCTCCTTGTAACAGGCTGGCCCTGAGGAAGCACTAAGTGAAGAAAGCCTTTTAAAAATCCAGAGCTGGATGAGACTTCCCTAAATCAGAAAGCCAGATTCCAAATAATCAATTTGAGGCCAGCAAGATGACCCAGTGGGTACTTACTACCCATCCTGACAACCTGAGTTCAGTCTTGGGGACTCAAGGTGGAAGGAGAGAATCTACTCATGTAGTCCTCTGAACTCTACAAACATCTACACATGTCTACACACACACAAATAAAATTACAAAAAAATTCTAAAGATATCTAATTTTTCTAGCTTAATAACAATAAAGAGCAGTCATGGTAGTCCATACCTAGAATCACAATACTCAGGAAGCTGAGGCAGGAGAATTGCTGTGAATGTTAGAGCTACATGAGTTACAAGCCGGCCTGGGCTATAGAGGGAGCTCCTACCTCACAAATCAGAATTTCTCCCTCTTTGTACCCAGTTGTTTCTACTTACCTTGTAAACTTCACTGAAACCTCCTCTACCCAAAAGATGTAACAACAAGTATCTGTCATTTAGCGTTGGATGATCCTTAAATCTGTGGAAACGGAATTTGTAACATTCTGAGGTCAAAGACTATAGTCTTGCGTAGTCCAACAATTCTATAGTTTCTCCAACAATAAATGCTTCATTTCTAAAGCCACTGCTCAGAGTTTGACAACTGGTACCAATAGAGTAAACTATGAGCACAAAGTTATAGAGTTCAGCACAATTATAATAAACAGTAACAGCTATTATAGCCTGATACTGGGTCTAGTCTCAGGAGTCACATCTAAACTTGGGGCTGTTTTTGATCTCTTTCCTTTTTCTCACCATTTAAAAACTATATAAAGCTCCAGGATATTTTTATATTGTCTTTAAAAAGTACAATATTTCATGTGTTTTATGTGAATTTACCCCAGCCCCTCCATTTGAGACAGGTCTTACTATGTAGCCCTAGTTGGCCTGGAACTCACTATGTAAACCAAGCTGGCTTCGAACTCAGAGATCCACTTGCCTCTAGCTCGCAAATGCTGGGATTAAAGTTGTGTACCACTATACCCAGCTAACTGAGTGTTTGGAGACAGGGAATACTCTGACCTAGAACTTTCAATCCTCCTGCCTCAGCCTGCTGAGCATTGGAGTAACAAGTATGCACCATCATGGCCTGCCTTTTGAGACAGGATCTCAGTATACTCTGGCTTTAGCTTTCCAAGTGCTTGGAATACGTATAGATTTGTTCCAACCAATCCAACTCATTTTTCCCTCTTTAGATAAGTCTATGGTAAATCTAAGTCTAGGATACAGTGTATTCCCAAGAAAGATTCTTCTGTAGCGCATGCACTATAATCCCAGTGCTCTGGAGGCAGAGGGAAAATGCAAGAAAGCTCAAGGCCAGCCAGGGCTATATAGTGAGACACTATCTCAAAACTGGGAGTATACAGACAGCTAGGGCTGTAGCTTGTAGAAGACTGCATGCCTAGTTTGCATGAGGCAAACTTCAAACTTATATTTCAACCTCAGTACTTTAAAAAAAAAATCTTAAAGTCTCCCTACTCGTCCTGAAATTCCTTTACTTTTGAAGTTAAGAAAGCAGTGTGCCTGTGGGGGAAAGATAGTATGTCATGGAAGTTTAATTAGGTAGATCTAAATGTGACTCTTCATTTGGGCTTCTAGTCATTGACTTCATTTCTCTAACTTGTTTCCTGATTGATGGATATATGTGAGATTATGGGGTTGCCATGAGAACTAAATATGAGATCAAAGGGCACTTAGATTCATTACTTCCTAATACATAAAGGTCACAGAAAATGGTAAGTGCTGGTAACTCCCACTTGACAGAATAATGGTCATGGTTCACATGGTGAAAAAACAAAAATATTCAAGCTGTAGCTACATGAAAGAAATGTTACAGCCTTAACAATACACAAGAAAAGATGTAATCAGTGATAAAAAGCCATTTCCCACTTGCAAGCTACTTTTCCTGAATTTTAGTCATAAACATACCTTATAAACAAAGATGAGTGTGAATCTATAATTAATGTGGTAAATTTAAGAGTCGTACAAATTTTACTTACTCAGAAAATGGATGTGATCTTATCTTTCTACAGCACCACTGTGGCCAATGCTTCCAACTCTCAAGGTTCCTTGGCTATATCTATATGCCATACCCCATCCATACTTACAGGTGCCAAACTATACTATGTAAACTCTATTTATATAAAATACTATACATATATAAACTTACTTTTTAATACAAAGATCATAACTTTGTTCATAAAATTATACCCTAAAAAGGAACTACGTATACATTAGATTCATTTGATAAATTTATAAGGGAAAATATTGTTCTAGACACGTCATAAAATTTTCAGCAATCTCCAGCCCATTATACCCCAGTTGCTTACTGTGAATTATCTTCATTATGTATCCTTTTTAATTCCCTGATATGTAGATTTCTAACTCTTTCTAGCCTTTCCAGCTCTGCCTGGATTTCTGCTTCTTCCTAAAAAGGGGGAGGGGGAAAAAAAAAGGAAACTTTACCTTTCCATTTAAAAAATAATGACATCTATTTCACTTGTAAAAAACAAACAGATGTAACAACTGGTAACTTTCCAAGAATATTTTATGCACATACATACAAGCTTTGCAAAAACCTTACAAAATCCTGGTTTGTTATCTGATTCTCTACTTTTGGTATATATTATTACACTTCATACCATAAATTCCACTAATTGAACATCTAAGAAATCGTGTGTGTGTGCGTGCGTGTTATAAAAAACTAATGTCACACAAAATCCAACACCAGTAACAACTTATTAGATGTTTATTAACCACCTGCATCATAAACAGCATCCACCAGGAATGTATGGACTGCTGAAATTTTTTAAGCTTTCGTTTCTTATTTACGTGCACATGTTTCTCTCTATGCACACGCCAAATTATGCAGAGGACAGAAGAGGATGTCATATCTTTGGAATTGAAGTTACAGACAGTATGAGCAGCCAGGCATGCTGAGAACCAAGCTGGGGGTCCTCTAAATGAGCAGCAAGCTCTCTTAACAACTAAGCTGTTTCTCTACCACCTAGGCTGCTCAATGTAAGAGCTTTAATTAGCTGCATTCTAGAGATGTTAAGTCTATGGTAAAGCACTTACTTGTCTAGCATCCTTAACCTTGGGTTCATGCACACTTGAGCCCACCCCCCCCCACACACAAGGCAAGCACCCTAAGGCAACAACAAAACTCACTTCAAATCACACACATGGAAATGATAAGCAAGGTACACTGCCACACTCCTATAATCCCACTATTTAGAAAGTTGAGACAGGAGGATCCTGAGTTCAAGGCTGGACTATGTAACAAGACTGCCTCAAAGGAAAAAAAAAAAAAAATCAAAAACAGATCCTCAATAAAAAGATATCTCAATATCTCAATGACTATCACCAGAAAATTCTTTTAGGGGTTAGAATATGGATGGAAGGTGGATCTCTGTGAGTTTGAGGCCAGCCTGGTTGACAGAGAGTTCCAGGACAGGCTGCAAAGCTACAGAGAAACCCTGTCTCAAAAAACAAACA